TTTAAATAAAATTATTTAAAATTTATTTGTTTATTTATTTATTATTTTTTATAATTTGCTCAAATTGCCCGCATACCCAGCAGATCAATGTACCAGAAGTCACTTAACATTACAATAACAGAACAGCATCACTTAAAGGAGAGCATTTTGCTTTGTTTTAGACTAAGAGAACTCTCTTCTAGCTGCACATTGATAAGAGTAATGATTGACAGTAGTCACTCTCCAGCCAACTTAACATGACTCAAATAACATTGAGTAGCCTATTACAGAGAGCTTACGATCCACTCTGTTAGTTAACATTTCAGTGATATTTTCTATTGTTTTGCAGCCTGCTGGACATTTCTGTTCGCCTGGTGTTTAATAGAAATTTTGACGAAATTTTGTGAATTTTGTGAATCAGCGGGCAGCCCTTAAGATTATGCAATGCAATTGTGAATTCTTTGATTTATTTATTTATTTCTCTGTAATGGTATTTTGGTAATACATAATTTATTTATCTAGGTATGAGAATATAAATGAAATTAGATATATCATTAGTATATCATTGCATATACCCGCTGTAACTTTCTAATGACCTAGGGTATTTAATAGAGCCATTCAGTATAGCGTTACTAATTACATTCGCGCCGATGTTAATTTGTTACAATTTCCGGATTTTCGCTAATTTATTTATTTATTTTACTTTTTTTTTTACATTTTTATTAGTGGCATAAATTCTGTGCTGAATAATTGTTGTTGTTGGTGTTGCAGCATGTCGTTCTGTAAGTTTGATTTGAGCTTCCCTTTCAATTGTTGTTGAAATTTGCATTTTAGTTCATGACCTCACAGCTATGGCTTAATCTGCATGTATATAATTATGTATGTGTAGAATATGCGCAAGTATTCATATTCATATACATACATATACATATATTTAACTCTATATATTTCTGTTTAAGCTCAGCTTCGATTAGTTTAATGTACATATAAAAGCAAATAGAAGCTCACAGAGCAACATTTATCTATACTTTGACACGCCCC